TTCGATCACAATGGTTCATTATTGAAAATAATAAACCAAAATGTATGCTAAATCCGATTTTGATGAAATTTTCTTAAATTGTGCCAAGATTGGTGCTAGATATGGGATCAACTATCAATTTAATCAAATTACAATATAAATAAACAAAATAAAAACAACAGAATCTAAAATTATTCAATAAATTGTTAACACACCATGGTAGATTTCAAATCAACAAAGAAAAATAAACAATTTCAATCTACTACTCAAAATCATCCCAATCCACTCGTTCTATCGCTTTATCCTCCCTGTCACTTGTTCGACGCAGATTAAAAAGAAAATGGCACAGCGATCTGATACTTCAATGACTAAATCAAGGTCATTACAAAGTGAAATCGTCGATAAGTTAATCATTTACATTAAATTTATTAGATGTGCTACTGTTTAGTTGAATAAAAATAAAAGAATAAAATAAATAACATACCTTCTTATTTATCGTATTTATTTGTCCCTGAAAATCCTTTAAAGAAAAACTGTTCTATACTACGCTGGGCTTCATCTTTGAATAAAATGTCGGTTTCATTCCTTCATCTTACAAAGTAGTCCTTCTACCACTCAACTTGTAGGAGCCACAACATTTCTTGAATCCTTTGCGGAAGAAGGAAGCTGAAGAAAAAGCTATTGGTAGAGTCGCAACCGCATAACCCTTTAGTGGGACAATATGCCATTCGTATCTCCACATCATCTGTAGCATCCTTTTCTTTAATTTGGATTTATATATATATATATATATATATATATATATATATATATATATATATATATATATATATATAATAACAAAAAGAAAAGGAAAATAAAAAAAAAGAAAAAAGAATTACATGTATAGTAAGAAAAACCAATAGAAAGATATATAGATATGTATACAAATTATTATTATTATTTTTTCTTTATTGAATATTAATACATTCTGCCACATTGAAGGGCATTAATATTAAGACTACATGATTCATTCACATAATATGTACATACAATGTTTACAAATTAAGGAATGTAAGAAATGAAATACGTCTAAAATATACACAATCTTGTAGATAGAAAAAAGAAAAATGGATAAAAACAACAATCAATCTCTTATTCTTTATGAATCACCTCACAGTGCTATGCCGAAAGTGATACTGAATCTTTCCAGTTCACAAATAATAAACAAAAAATAAAATATATATATATATATATATATATATATATATATATATATATATATATATATATACTGATAAAAGCATCTATCACTTATGACGGAATGTGAATAAGAGGCAGTTAATCAGATAAATGAACTGAAGGAAATAGTAGAAAGAGCCTGATTGAAAATATCATTTGAAAAAACCGAAATAATGACTAATAATAATAATGGAAAAAATACGGAATAATCAGGTTGGTAGAACACTTTATATACCTTGGGGAACTCGTAAACTACAATGAAGTGAGATGTAAGCAACACAGAATATTCAAGTAAAATTAGATAAATTTAGGTTCTTAGTCAGGAGTTTTTGTATTAAAAATAAATCTTTTCAAGAAAGTCAATATTAGACATTATGAAACAGTCATAAAACCGGTGATTCTCTAAGCGACGGAGACTATGGGATTTACCAATAGTATTTTAGGAGTTTAGTCAGGATTTTTTAATATATTTTTTGTTATATGCTTATGGATATGGAATTATGGAAAATATCTTAACAAAACAATTAGATATACTAAAATTTGTATACATTAAACATGGACAGACTCCATAACATAGCTACATTTTTAGAAATTTTGCAGATAAAAAATGAATAATGAATAATGAATAAATGGATGAAAACAATTATATTATTCAGGGACTAGAGTTCCTTTATAAACAAAAACAAATACAGAATATAGATTAATATTCTGGTATGTTCATAAAATACAATTAAATATTTACAGGATGATTAGTAATGAAATAAAAGTACATATAATAAAAATATATAAAAACGTACATAAATATAAAGTAAAATAAATAAACAAAATGTCAATAAATCAAAAAATAATCAAAGTATCTTTGGGTGCTCTGAGATTCTTGCGACTTAGATTTTTAAGAACATTTCATGATCAACCGGATTGGGAATGGAGTAGGTGTTTGAAGAGGAGAGATTTGAAAGACCGTGTCGAATATCAAAGGGGATAGAATTCTAGAGGGAAAGAGCTTGACTTAAAAAGTATTTGTTAAACACAGCAGTTCGGTGAGGAGAAGGATAGAGGTCAGATGTACGGGATCTGGTAGGACGGGATTGAAAGGAGCATCTGTATTGTAGGATCTGTAGAATAGAGGAGGGTCGTCGAGTTCTAATAGCCTGGAATAGGAAGCTAGCAAGGAAATACTGACGGAGGTAGGACGGATAAAGCCACTTTAATTCGGTGTAAAACTGGAAATATGCGTATCCCTTGAGACCCCGAAGATATAGCGAATAATAATAAATACTGAAAAATACTTTTGATTAGGTCTTGATAAAATAGTTATCTACCTTTTTCTTCTTAGCTTAACCGATTTTAGTTCATATATTTAATTCATTCACGTAGCTTATTTGTTATCGACTTAATTTTTTTTACTTCACATTATTGGGGGGAGAGAGGATAGAAATGATATTCTCAATCTCTCAACGTTTTGATTGGGGAAGAGGGCGATAGTCTCCCCGAAGTTTGCGCCTATTTTTACTATGATTAGAGAAAAATTCAATACGGGAGAAGGAAAAACGTTGTTCATGGCCCTGGGTTCCTTATTCTGACTTCTACTATTGTGTAATACATATCTGAATATTTATTTCTATTGGATGATTTGCATGCTAAGATTTTTCTTTGTCATTAATTAAATGGACTTTACAACTTAGACGTTAAGTCTAAGTTCTAAATCCCTTTCTCTGAACTGAGATTCAAGTTCTGCAAATGTTGATTTAAAGGATGTGTACCTGAAATAATTCGAATCGACAACTTAACATGGAAACGGGTCGATCTATTCATCTGGTCCTTATTCTGCAAAGGAAACACGTCTCCCAGCATTAGCCATTCAGGACATTAGCAGAACAAACTGCAGATGTCGCACCGCTAGGAATATCCTTGTGAGGAAGTGTGCTGGCTAAGAAGAAGGCGTTCGTTTCTCGGAAGTACAATAAAAGAACTTGTGGAAGAGATTTTATTTCTTAATGTACTCTTATTTATGCTTTTTTTTAAGCTTAGAATTGCTCTGTATTTTTTAAGGGGTTTCGTTCCGCCTTAATTATTTGGTTGGGGGAGAAGAGGGGAAGCATAATATTCAGTGAAAATATTCTTATAGGAGACTTCTTTCACTATTTTCGTAGCGACAACTCCTTCTTGTTTTCCTTTTCCAAGTCTTCTGAACCAAAAATCCTCCCTTCATCCTAGAACTCCTTTCTCTACGTTCCTTTATCCACTCTCTAAATACTAAATCTCAACCTATTGATCTATATACTAGTATACTCGTATACTCACCACTGCCTATAGGATATCCTTCGTTATTCGTGCTATCTCTTTTTCCTTACCTATCTCCATACATCAATCCTCGTCCACGAATTCCTTTTAACCTTTCTGTTTCATCCCCAAATACATATTAAAAACTCTGAAACTATTTACGAATAATTTATTCTTTTTAGTAGATCAGGATATTCATTTACCAATGACAGTCTCTATATTTTTTTAAAAATGACTTTGTTCCTAGAGAATCTCTGTAATACAACACATTTCAATCAATAAGTTTAACAGTAGATATGTTAATGTTATAATATTAGATACATTAAAAGGAAGATGGTCCGGGGTAGCGGTCATAAATATACTAAATAGTGGAAAAACTAAAAAATACAAAAATATCTAGAGAAAAGTTACATCATATATTTTTCACAGCTTACAATTCAAATATTCCATCCAATCCCGTCCCACCAGATCTCGTACTTCCGACCTCTATCCTCCTCCTCACCGAACTGCTGCGTTTGACAAATCCTTTGCAATACAAGCCGCCTCCCTCTGGAATTCCATCCCAGCTGATATTCGACACGCTCAATCAGTTTCCTCGTTTAAACGACTCCTCTTTAAGCACCTACTCCTTTCTCAATCCGAATGATTGTGAAATATATCTTAGAGAAATATCTGAGCACCACCAGAGACTACCTCAATTTATTAAGGTTATTTTAGTTTCTCATACATATGTACAATTTACTTGTTCTTTTTTTTCTCTTTTCTGTATTTTTATCGTAAGTCAACTTTCATTGTAAATATACAATTTAATTGCAGCCACACAGACATATAATCTGTATTCATATTTTGTTCTTAAGGGACAACAGTCCCAGAATAATAAAACATTTTTTTCATTTTTCATTTTCATTTTTCATATTTAAATAAAAATTATAACCAATGTGAATAAACTTATTAAAATTAAAAACGTTAAGTACAATAAAACATTAAGAACAATAAGTTGTATAAATAGAGTAACCTATGTAACAAGATCCTAAACTGAAGTGAATAGTAAATTGAAATAAAATATTACCTCATAATAATTTATTTTTGTAATCACAATTGCTACTAGCAGTTAATCGACAAGTAGCGTTTCATGTTTCTTCATGCCGGACTAATATGCATAATTTCAGAATTCTGCCACTATTTTATGCAGACTTATATCCAAAATGGAACTATTTATTCATTCATACATTGAATGACTTATGTAAAAAAAGTTCTCAGGACCACTACCCTTCCACTCTTGTGTATATTGTTATTATTATTTCTGAATTTCGCAGTTCCCCAGACATTGTTGGGAATATTCACCTACCCGGACTCGATGAGTCAAAAGATAGGATCTGTTTAGGAAATATTTAAAAATTGTCTTACAATGCTGACTGTCAGTGGTAGCATAGCTTTCTGACTTTCTTCCAGTATATAATCTGGGCGTACCAACACTTCGCAAGTCTTTATCGTTTCCTCTGGGACCAAACGCAATGATGAAAGCCAACACCTTATCTTGTTTTAGGTTATATAGTTGTTTCTTAGGCGTATAGTAGAGGCTTTGTTATTTTCTTATCTTCTCTCCTACCATTTTTTGAATATTTTCGTCACTGGAAACTCTGAAGGAACAATTGAAGGTGTGCAGAAACCACTCCAGTCACAAATTTCAAATTTTTTAGAAAAAAAAAAATCTTCCATTTCTAAGTTTCTTTTCAACGAAAACGATTTTTCACATTTTTTCGACTGAAGTGGTTTTTGCACTCACCGATTCAATTATTGTATCCGTTTTTACGTAGAACCAAAATATCCGGTTTATTGTTTGCTACTGTGTGATCTATGATTATAGGTCGATCCCAATAGATTTTAGTTTCCTTATCAGAGAGAATGGACTGCGGGGTGTAACGGTAATAAAGCTTCGATCTCCGGGTAAATTTGTAATATTTATTAAGACTTTGGTTAATTATCATTGCCAAATTGTTATACCTTTCCAGGTATTCTCTTCCTACTAATATTATTATTATTAATAAATTACCCTTTGAGCTTCCGTCATTATGACCATTCTTTTTTCGCCTGTTGCAGAGAAGTACTTCAAGAAGAAGCTGATGACCAGCTTCATGGCGGCGATGCTGATCATCAAGCTGATCAAGGTGAAGCTGATGTTCCTGCTGCCGCTGGTGGTCGGGGTGAGCACCGCCAAGAAGATCCTCCTCAAGGTGCTCCTCTTCCTCTTCCCCGCCCTGGCCCACCTCTTCAAGCTCTGCGCCTTCTACCACCACCACCACAGCAAGTACCACCTCCACCACCACCACCAGGTGGCGCACCACCATCACCACCCGCCCCCCGTCTACTACCCCTCTCATCCGGAGTACTACGCGCACCCTCCCCCTGGTGCCGAGATCATCCACCGCAGCGAGCAGGCCGGCAACGAACTGTCTTCGTGGGGCATCGAGTACCAGCCGGAACCGGAGGCCGCGGACAGCAGGGTCTACAGCGTACCGCCGCCGACCAATGTAAGTTCACAGTATAACTTTAATTCAATATTTAATAGTTGACCGTTGCATTATAAAGGAAGGAGATGGTCCGGGGTGGCGGTCATAAATACGCTAAATAGTTGCAAAACTATTTCATTAAAAGCCAATGTTTCGACCCGACTTAACAGGTCTTCTTCAGGACTAGAACGGACAAGATACAAAAAGATAGAGAATTGTGGAAGTTACATAATATTTAGACAAAAAATTATAAACAATGTCAATAAGCTTATTAAAATTATAAACAGTAAGTAAATTAAAATATAAACAGAGTAAGCTAAGTAACAAGATCCTAAACTGTAATATATGCAAATGTGAATATACTTCTCAGATCTACAGGAGAGATTGAAAGAAATTGAAAAAGGATATAATATGAAATAATAAATATAAAGGAATGTCGAGAAAGAAAAATAAAATAAATAAGTAAAAAAAATTAGAGACTTACAGGTGTGTTCAGCTAGGAGTTTCACTTAAAACTGGAAAACCAGAGTAAGGTATTGGAGAATTTGCTGACTTGTTTGGGTAATGGGGAAAAACCTAGAAAATTACAGAATAAGAAAATTAATAAAATAGTTTTGCCACTATTTAGCCTATTCATGACCGCCATCCCGGACCATCTCCTTCCAGTATAACTTTAAATTTGAATCGTGATTTAAGTAGCATATGTCAGACCATGATTTTTTACTATGTGGACAAACATTTGTCTCTCTGACATTTTTATTTTGTGGAAATGTACAACTCTCACTCACTCACTCCATGGATCAATAACATTTTTTTAGCTAAATATGAATCTTTTTTATTACTTGCGAAAGTGCGATCTCAAAATCTTATTCAAATTCTTTAGAATAGAATAGAAATAAAAAATCATCTTTATTCTGGGGCTAGGTGCCATAAGAATAACAATATTGTTCAAACCAATTGACAATAAATTCGGCCAGATGACCGATTATAATAAAGGGTATCTAAAAACTAAGTAATAAAATGAGTATATACATAGTATATACATAGTATATTAAGGAAAGCAGATGGGTACATGGATTACAATATTATAATATTGGTACAAAAAAACAAAAACATACTAATAACTAAAATTTAAAAGAATCGCTAAATAAGTTTTATAGGTAATCAATTTTAGTGATAAAATATAAAAATAAATAAAATAACTATAGTAAATAAATGATTTATATATGTTCCTTAAGACTTTTAAGTGAAAACACATGAAGATAGTGTGAAAAACTATTGTGATCTACCTATCACTCAATATATTACGAGCAGAAAAAGAAATTTATATATATATATATATATATATATATATATACATGTATACACAGAGCAGTGTGTAGAAGATAAGTGAAAAATAAAATACACTTCAAAAAATACAATCTTATGAATAGAAAAGATAGACGGTAAGAAAAACAACAAAAAATTATACCTACTCACAATGCTTTGCGAAAGGTGATCGAAATTCTGTTTCATACTGAAATCAGAAGAAAAAAAAATCATGTATAAAGAAAATTAAAACCTTCTTACATAGTATATACTTAGCCAGCATCTGATTAAATTGGAATAAGAGGGTTTTATATGCTGATAAGGGTGGTGCATGTCGGATTTTCAGTGTTTTTTTTTTTCACACGCTTTAGCCCATTTGGCCACCCCGCCCCCTGGATTTTCAGTGTTATGGAATTCCATATTGCAGTGGAACGGATAACAAAGGAATGTTTATATCTTTATCATTTAAATCAGGGCTACCCATCCCTCCCCCCCCCCAATGTCGATGGCGCATGAACCTCTCCCCTCACCCCCTCGAGATATTTTATTGCTCTCCTCTTCTTAAAAACATAATTAATGAAAGTACCATAAATCATTTTATTTCAAACTTTTCAATCCGAAAGTTCATAACTCCGTCTAAAATTGCCCCCCCCCCCTCAAACATTGAAAGTCATGTCAAAATGTGCCCCTCTAAAAAATTGTTATTGCGCAATTAGTGCCATGAAACCTCTCTTGTGGGCACCTCTGATTTAAATTCTATTTCAGCTCAACTTCACGCAATTTATTTCTAAGCAACTACACAATTCCTCTATTTATAATGTTACGAATTTGTATAATTGCCTTTTAAAATCAAATAATATATTAATATCAAATATTAAGATAAGTGTGTTACCTAAAAGAAAAAAAAAAATCTTAGCTACGCCGATAGCTGAGGAAAATCAAGCAGTTTAAACTATCTTCTGCATTGGATTAACTTCAAGTCCAACCGCAGCCCAAGCCAAACTGAGCTTTGTAGTCAGCTTTTCGTTTAGTAAATTATATTTGTATTAAAACTAATTGGACGGATAAATGAAACTGGAAAAGTTAAATAAACAGTGCGAATTACTTGGCGCTCTATTTCAATTTACACTTAGTGTAAGATAAAGGAACTCAAGAAAAAAATAATTGCACCATCGGATTCATCGGATTTTTACATAGAAATCGATACTTATCTAAATTTCAATAAAAATCGATTAGGGTTCACTTTGAAAATAAACGACTTATATAATTAAGCAACCAAATATAATTTATTTTAATATATTTAAAAAACTAAGGTGTGCGAGATTAATAATATGATATATAAATTATAAATAATAGCTCATTACATAGAAGATGAAATGTTGAACATTTCCCTCGCTTACAGGTCCGATTTTTAGTTTCTGAGATATTTTAATCTATTTCTTGGATAAAACTCATTATCATTTGGTTTTAAACATTATTTTTGCTTTTTCTCCTCTCTAACACAATATAGTACAGGTAGCAAAGTAATAAATTAAAACGTGTAGAATATAGAATACGCTGTATCTTCGCTTATACTCGTTCGATTCGGATGATTTTTTTTTTGTTTTGTTGGTAATTTAATTAATTTTAAAAATTTGTATATATATTTTACTATAGAATATATAATTAACGAGTTAGGCCCCAAAACAATTTTCTTTTCTTTATAACATTTTTTCCTGATTTTTTCGGTAATTTAGTACATGTACGAAAATTGCAAGGACAATTATTAGAACATTATAGGAAAGTTTCATTAAAATCGTTTGAGCTGTTTACAGTCAATAGAATAACGTGTTTTTAATTTTTTACGCAGCCATGGAGTATTCATTTCCTGCTCAGACATCGGTATTCAAAACCCTACAAAATAAAAAAAGAAGAAACAAAATCGGTTTAGTAGTTCCTGAGAAAATGCTGGTACCGACAGACAGATTGTTAATTATGTGTTTTTCGGACTCAGGAGGCTCTAAAATATATAAATCTATCGAAAAGATAAAATTTTGAATAATAGCCTATTACATTGAGGATGAAATGGTAAATAATTCTCTCGCTTACAGTATGCAGTTCCGTTTTTTAGTTTTTGAGATATTGTATTTTAATCCATATGCAAAAAAAAAACTTCAAACACTTCGATTCCAGTCGACTTTCCAGAGCGTTACATTCGGAGATCTGACGGCTCAATCTAATTCACTCACTACAAAAAATTGCAAACCCCACCTAAAGAAGTTTTCGCTTCAAAAAAAAAGATGGTTAATAATTAGTATTTTATCTTTTTAGATATAATTGGTTAGAAAATAATAGTTTAACCGTAATAGGCTAATAGAGAAACAGAATAATGTGTAGGTTAGAGCCCGTATATCACAGGTGTGCCCAGCAATCTCACCTAATTATTGTTGTAAGTGTCGCAAGTTCTGCGCAACCAACCGCGTAGTCATACAGCACTCAGCGCCACTGCTACCTTTATTATGGCAATTCAGTACTATTATCATTAAGGCATATTCAGCCATTTTACAAACTATGGGAAACACAAACGTCTGAATAGGTTGTTTGCCTAAGTTGGTGGTTTTGTTTGTTCTATGTGCTTGTACCACCTTCTGTAGATTTTATCATGAGAAATCAAAGTGAGTTTGGATAAGCCCTTGTGTTGGATTTAAGTATTTCTTTACTGTTTGAGTATCTTGAGAGATTTTGATGGATTTAAGAAGAAGAAAAGTAAATTTTATTCTGAGAAATTTAGTGCCCTAAGAATAATTATAATGAACAAAAATATGTGACTGGCATTATAAGAAAATATAAAAATAATTTGCTAACATAACATAATAATCAAACCTTATAATTCAAATAAATAACTACAACTGTTACTCGTAATCAACAAAATAATAGGACAAAGCAAATACACAGCACTGATATTCTTTTTATTAACAATATTATTTTTATAAGCACAAAGTACAATTCAAATGTTCCGATGCACTTACTTATTAGCTTATTACTGTAATTTTTTAGATAGGAGAAACCTAACTAAGCCCGAATGAAAAATTAGAGGAGTTAAACGCAAAGGTATATTAGTTAAACCAATTATTACCTTATAGTAACTAAGATTATCAAGTATTAGTAACTATTTTGCTTTAATTTTTATTTAAAAAATAGATTTTTTTTACCAGTCCTGGTCTTGGTCTTGCAACAGTTAGGCAGCCTTGGTCTTGGTCTTGCAAAGTGCAAGACCAAGACCGATTTTGGGCAACACTAATAACCTAATAACTGAAATCCTAGTCCAGATTAACATGCAAAGACATGTCTCACAACCTCCTATACAGTCCCAGATGTTCTTAGTCTTCACCTTGTAACTTACAGGTATGTAAATTATCAAGAACAGTTAGATATGGTAAGTCACTTCTACGCTTGGTAAATTATCACGGATGCGTAAAATGCATTTTATAATGTTCCACATATCGTTACATAAAAACATCTTCACGACTTTATAACCAAAGTGAAAGAGGGAAATAAGTAAACATAAGGAACTGACCTTAAATTAAATGTACTGTGAAATTCAAGATTAATATTCATAATATAAGGAAATATAAAAACAAATATACTGGTCCAGATTCCGTGTTGCTTGCGCTCTAGTTCTTATCACTATTTGAAGAATTATGGAAATCAATATTAAAATCTGCAGAATTAATCTGAATAATAGTGTAGAATAGAATGGAAAATAATTTTATTCTGGGACAAAGTCTCTTTAGAGTAACATAATAATACAAAATTAAAATATTACATCTGGCCTAATTAAAAACAAAAACAAAAAATTAAAAGAAAGAGAAAAAAGTAAAAAAAAAAAGAATATATATACATATATATATACAAAACACTTAAAACTATGTACAGTGGTAAAACATAACTATACACTTTTAGAGAAATAAAAAATACATTAAATTCTTCTTGCTTTTTAACATAATACATTATAGTTACTCTAATATCCCTAGCATATAAAATACGCGTCGAGTGGCAATCATATGATTGATAAACCGGAGTTTACAATACATAAAATAATTAAGAGTTCGCGTCCTGTTGTCGGAGAGGGCTTTTTACTTTGGCATTAATTCCCGCCCTCTCCTCTGGCGATTGAATCATAAAATCCTATGATATGTTGATATATATCATTATCTTTGCATAAAAATGACAATTTAAATAAAAGTAACATTTAGTTAATAAAAAAATAGTTACAAACCTACTACTGTGCCCTAGCCTAGCCCACTAGTCGACTTTTATTAATCGATTTTAGTTTACACTTTTTATTTATTCATGTAGCTTATTTATAATCGATTTTAATTTTTTTTTTTACCGCAAATTATTGGGGGTGCGAAACGATATTCTCACTCCCTCAATATTTTTATTGTTGAGTCTAGCCATCTAGCCACATCCAATTTTTTTATTTTACTGAATCTATTTTCTAATCGATTATTTGCTCCCCGTTCATTCTTAAATTTTTAAAAGAAAATTGATTATTTATTTTAAGATCATACGCTGTGAAATCACTTTCTTAAGACATCCTTACTTCTAATCCATAGTTATTTAAAGATTACTTAGAATAGTCTATCTCTAGTATATATGTATGCATGTGTTATTTGCTTAATTTTAATATTCTTATTTTTAGGTTATTTTCTTTTCTTTATTATATATACTTTTTTATTTTTATTTATTGTTATTTTGCTTCTACTTATTTTATATTTTTTGTGCATTTAGTGTGAATGTTATCCTGCCTCACTATAACTAATGTCCATATGATAGATTTTTGTATTACTCAATAAATCAATAAAAAAAAAAATAATTTTTTTTTACAAGTTTAAAGTATTTTATTATATAAATAGACTATTATTATTATATTCCATTCTTTTCATTTGAAGAGATTGATTTAAACCATCAAACTTGGAGAGATGGGTACCTTCGTGACAGTATATACCTCAAAGCTTTTTTATTTTTATCCAGTAGCTTTATATAAATATATATTTATGTCTATTTACTAAAAAAATTGTTAAAATATATGTAGAGCAATTTATTTAGTAAGATTTATTAGTTTTCTTTATTTTTTATTTTTTTTGTCCTCCACTTCCTCGTCTTTTCGGCTATAAGGGGATTTTCCCGGGTGAAGGAAGAGGGCTAGAGATTAAAGTCAAAAGCCCCTTGCCACCAGAACGCGAACTCGTAAATATTTTATCATGTTATGCTCAGTAAATCAGGTTGCCAGGCAACTCGTGTTTTGCATACGCTCAGCCCCTCCGCTCCCAATTTGTTAAATTGTATTGGAAATGTAATCTCCAAAATCAGAAGACAGACGCATTGGGCCTTCCTTGACAACAGTCTTATCTTGTGTCCACTCACCATGTTAGTGAGTGCTATATTTGTCTAGTAATTTCACTTATATCTTAAAAATAGTTAATTAATACAGTATAAACCTTTCTTAGATTAATTTAAAATTTATATAACGGTTTAAAATGACTACTTTCAACTGTTTGCTTGCCAAACCTTTCCCCTCCGTTTCCTAAAATATTCCCATTCGTATTCGACCCAGATGACTCTCTTTTGGCACCCTCACTTCCAGGAACTACCGGATTGGCTGGAGTCCAGTCGTCGCTCTCGGAATTGGAACGCCTAAGAATAAGTCCGGTACTTTCTTTATTTGTGATTAGCGGCACGAAGACGTTGATAGGTAAAACGAAAAAAAATAGTAATTCGTACCGCGAAGTGAATTCGTATCACTTCCATACTCTTATCTTCATAAACTCAATTACTGTCAATTAGCTTTTAAGGAACACTTTCTAATTATTTCGATGAATGCAGAAATTGAAATCTGAGTTTCCTTGCGTGCCTGATTGTCCGAATAGATGAAAGAATTATTCATTTAAAACTTTTTAATTTTCTAACCTTTCAACCACATTAATCGCTTTTAGACTTCAAAACTAAATCTTTGAGTCCATCACATCAAACATAATTAAGAACCCTTCAAAATTTCGGATTATTCGGAATAAATATTCGAAACGAATTATCAGAAGCAAAATATCTATATGTTGTTGATTAATGTTAATATTGTTATATCATTAAAAAAACAACTGACAAGTAAGGTCAGTATAGCTTCCTCACCGTTTTCTTTGGCTAATAAATATTTATAATACAAGGTCAACAATTTTTCGTATGAGAATAAAATCTCTGGGAGAAGCCGTTTTCGGAAATTAAGAAATCCCTCAGTTTGATATCCGCGATTTTTGTTCATCAGCGAATGCTAAAATGCGAAAGAGTTCCGAATTTGTAGATTGCATATTTGATGATTCGTGATTAAGAAAAAAAATTCAGTTTATACTGAACATTAATATCACTATATCTAGTGCAGAAGGTTTTATGTAAAAATTGAGCATAAAAATTAATTGTTTCTTTATGATTTATTAGTATTACTTCATACTTTATTGGCCTCTGCTATTTTGCAGGCCGCTTATATAAGTTGCAGACTACAAAATGTCACCTTTAGCACAAATAGAATAAAAGTTGAAAATTTTTACATACCACCTTTTGCTCTAACAGCAATGATATATACTTAATCGGTACGTTTTCACTCGTAAAATGGATGGAACGAAAATCCATAAGAAAAATTCTTTTTTTTTATTTTTTTTATTTTTATTAACGAAATTTACAACTGTAATTAATAATAAATACAACAAGTAAATATGAACAAGTAAATATGACATGTACAACATGAGGAGAAACTACCCATTGGTAGCACTCCAATTATATTTCTATATTAGAAGGTCCCGAGGCCATCTTCTTTTTAGACGCCTCGAAGAGGAAGCAAGGTTGGAAACGAGAGGGTTCGGATGGTTCAGAGGTTTATTATGAAAGGACAGGTATCTGGATTGAGCTAAATCGGAGACATATGGTACATTAAGGTCATTATGGATGATTTTATTTGTGACAAAGTAGGGAGAATTAAGGATTTTACGAAAGATTTTGGATTGTAGGGATTGGATCCGAGAGGAATTTGATGGTTTAGTAGAGCCCCAAAGCTCGATCCCGTAAGTCCAAATAGGCCTTATTATAGTAATATATATGAGTCTTTTGTAAATAGTTGGCAGTTTAGATCGTTTGTCTAGTAAGTGCTGGAGTAGTCGGAAACGTCGGGCGGTTTCTAGTCGTTTCAGTCTGGTATGGGGGTTGAAGTGAGTCGTTTGTCAAGGTGGAGTCCTAGGTATCGGATTTGGTCAACAGGGGTAAAAGAAAAATTTAACTTTTTGTTTGTTCTGAGTTAACGAGACTAATACTTTTCTTCAGTCAGAACAAAACTAATAAGCTGGAATATAAAAATATGTTTGAAGTTTTTGATATTTAAACAATTTTAATATACAAGGAGGAAATAAAGACCACAACGAGCTTATTGAACTTCCATAGAAATAAACAAAATCACAAATAAGAATTTTTTTTTTTACAAATTCAGAGTGAAAATTAATTTAAATTTACTGAAAATTACACGAAATGTAAGTAACTGCAGTAACGTTTAGAATCGACAAAACAATACATTCTAAATTAACTTTTTGAATAAAACCTAAAATTTTATAACGCCATAAATATATTGTCTTAACCTACCTCCCATTCCATATATCAATGCCTTCCACATTTCAAAGCCATTATATTAGCAGTTAACAGTTAGCATCCATAATAAGTTAACAAATATTTATATTAATTTTAATTATTAAATGTATTCAATGAAATTGATACTAGGTAATTTCTGTACTACACTCAAAATTTCCTCAAAGTTTGAGTCTAAGCGAACGCGCTAGTTTTCAAACTAGTGTGAGTGTCAAATAATACATTTCCTGTTCTGAAAGCTGAGATTTGTATTTATTTATTTATTTATTTATGTATTTATTTATTTATTTATTTCCCCCATACCAGACTGAAACGACTAGAAACCGCCCTACGTTTTCGACTACTGCAGCACTTACTAGATAAACGCTCTGAGCTTTCAATCAATTACAAACGACTCATATATATGACAATAATAAGACCTATTTAGACTTACGGAATTGAGCTTTGGGACTCCACTAAACCATCGAATTCCTCTCGTATCCAATATTTACAATCCAAAATGGCCTGGGGACGTTCTAATATAGAACTTTAATTTTAGTTCCACGATTGGGTAGTTTCTCTTCATGTTGTACATGTCATGTTACCAATGTCACATTTACTTGTTGTATTTTCCATGTAATACAGTTGTAAATTTCATTAAATAATAAAAAAATAAATTAAAAAAATGATTTATTTATGTTTTGATAAAATTCATACATACTCGATTATCTGTTTACCGAGTTTTAGAGGCATAGACTTATAAAGAAAAACGCCTTTGCGCATATATAAGAGAAAGTAGTAGACAGAATTCAATAGAATTGACCCTACACTATTATTTTTTTTTAATACCTACCTTTTCCCAAACTTTGATTCTAATCGAAAGAGCCAATTTTTAAATATTGACATTTGCGCCTGCGTAAGGAACTATCTAGACACCAACCCGCACAATTCCTGAAAATTTCATGAAAATCGAATTAACGGTAGTAAGTGATATGCCCGTCACCTCGATTTGAATACAGACAGACAGACAGACAACGAACCAAATTTGATCCCTAAATGTCTAAAATGTAAAACGCGAGTGGATTTTTTCGATTCTGAGCACAATTTTTTTTTTTATCTCTCGCAGAAATACAATGCTTTCCTACCTAGTGAGGAAGCATAATATATCGATAACTGAAATTGCATAAGCACGTTTTCGCTCTTTGCTTTTTAATAGTAATCATAATAATCAAGGATGTAGAGAACAGGGTTCCATGAAAATAGCAAACTTCTCATTTAAATTTAATTTAAATTAAATCAAGAAAAAACAACACAGCTGAGATCTCGAGCATTCTTACTATATATCTGAAATGTTATGAAAAGTCCGCCATTACTGTAGCGTAGACGCTCACGTAGCGTAAGAGATTCACTAGACTGGCCAGTTAAAAAATTTATAATTCCACTGATTTTCTAAAATGGAGTAAAAAACTACATCGGCCGGCAAGGGGCCAAGAAAGGAAGAGAGAGAAGATGAACTGGAAGATTGGCAAATAGAAGAAAAGAAAAAATGCAAGTATCCCAACCCACCTATATTTAAACACTGTAGTATAAAATTCAATATTATGAATTATAATGAAATCAATTTTGCATCTTCAATTATTTAGTACAGTAACTTATTTTACTTTACAGTTCACATCAATAAATTAATAACAGCACTTAAAACAGAATTATTATGTCAATATCCCTGAAAGCCATGGAAGGGATTAGAATAATAAATTAAACAGGCATTTTATGTTAGTGTTATGAATTTTGTATAGTTTCAATTTAGGCTACTGAACCAATTTTTTACGGGACCCCGGTACAGTAGGTAGTACTTGATTGAGGTAGTACCTACTTGTAAAAATAAATTGTATATCTATAAATAAATAAATATTTGTCCATCGCGATTTCTACTTTCCTTGAAAACCCAAAAGCCAGCGGACATTGAAGAAGTGGCTAGCTCGACGAACTAAGTAGCCATGACAGAGATTACTCTTCTACGCTCTGATGACAAGAACCCATCGAACCTTTCGATAGGCCTGGTTTGGTCTGTTATTGAATCAGTCGATATTGGTACCCAACTATCCGTAAAGGCAATTATAGTGTATTGTCTGTCAGTTATAATATATAAATACATATAGATTGTATTAATACTTATTTATTTAGAATTTTATATCCTCAAGGTAGTATCCTTGGTCCTATCCTTTACACAGTTTATACAGCTGACATCCCAACCCATCCTGACACTGTCATCACCACATATGCTGATGACACATGTTTGCTATCTGTTAATAATGATCCATCAACTGCATCCCAAACTCTCTAATCACATATCACAAACCTTGAGGAATGATGTAAAAATGGAGAATTAAAATAAATTCCAATAAATCCCATCAAATTACCTTTACCCTGCGTAGCAAACCTATGACCTCCTGCCCTACAGTATCCTTTAACAATTCCCCACTTATCCACGTTGAACAAATCCGGTACCTAGGACTCCACCTCGACAAACGACTCACACGGAATCCTCATACAAGATTGAATCAACAAGAAACCGCTCGACGTTTCCGACAAACGTTCTAAGTTTTCAATCAATTAAAAACGACTCATATATATAACAATAATAAGACCTATTTGGACTTACGGAATTGAGCTTTAGGGTTCCACTAAACCATCGAACTCCTTTCGTATCCAATCCTTACTATCCAAAATCCTTCGTAAAATCCTAAACGCTCCTTACTTTATCACAAATAAATTCATCCTTAAAGACCTTAATGTTCCATATGTTTCCGATTTGGCCCAATCCTTCCTCGGATTTTGACCTATCCTTCCATAAGAAACTGCAGAACCATCCGAACCGCCTCGTTTCAAATTTTGCTTCAAAGAAAATTTTATAAAGGGTGAAATTATATCAATCAAAGAGGTAATCAATGAGTGCTTTTAGAGATTTAAAATAACGGAGGTTATTTTAAGAGGAACTAGGCAAGAAAAATGAAGATATTATTAGTAATAGAGGATCTGGTA